CTTTTTAATATAAATTAATTAAAAAATAATAAATACACATTTATTATATATTTTTAAGACCAGTGCAAGTTAGAAAATTTCTCCTTTTTTTAACCCAAGTAAAAAGTTGCCTCTTGCAAACATCAAGAATTGAGCTCCAGGCAGTGTGCTGTCTTATACTACTATTCGTAGTTTTCTCTCTTACAGGACCAAACCATTTTCTGAAGATTCAGTGCAAATGTTCTGTTTAACTTGTAATAGACCATCTTGACTTTGCTGGTAGAGTTTCAACGGATAACTAACCAATTAATTAATCATGTTCCTATGTTTCCTGGAAGATCATAGATTTAAAGGTGTGTATAGGGGTGGGAATTTCTCCTAATCCCTGCCATGAGAGAGGGGAGAGGAATATCCCTCCTCGTAAGGTGGGGATGGGATGTATTTTCCCACAAATTTATATGGGGAATTTTCCTACCTCACGAGGGTCCCATCCCCGTGAAAAAACAAAAAAAAATTATTTTAAATTTAATACACCTAATATATTAATACATTGAAAACTCAACTCAATTATTTACGTTGGATTGATTTTTATTTATATTTAGATAATTTATATTTAATTTTACTATTTATCCATTGACTTTACTGATTACAATTAATTGCATTTTTACAATTTACGAAGGTATTTTAGTTAGGGGGGCCGGCTTTTTAAGTCTTAAAATAATATATTGTAATTTTGAAAACTTACTTTTATATCATATATTAAAATAATACTTGACAAATTTTTATGTCACAAAATCTATTTATAATATTATCTATACTAAATAACTGAACTATTTCCTTTTCAATATAAACAATCAAAGAGTTTGAAAGAGATTCATCTTCCATTTTGCTGTGAAGTCTCGTTTTCACAATTTTCATGGTAGAAAATACTTTTTCTGTTATTGCTATAGAAATTGAAAGAGTAAGTATCAAAGTAATTAACTTGTAAATGAGACTATAGACCTCTGATTTTCTTGTCTCCACAAGCCATTATATAATTTAAAAATATGACAACATTATATCTCTTTACCCTACGACTTTCTACAAGCAAACAAATTTTTTTTTTCCTTTTTACAAGCTAATTATATTTTATACGAGTTTATCTTTCTTTTATACTAATTTATGTTCCTATTGCTTTTTTCTATATGATTATATCCAAGGTTTTTTCTTTTTATTGAATTCATGTATGTTCCTTTTATGGATTTGTACTTTCTTTCTTTTTTTACAATTTTTTTACTCTGATTCAATTTTATTCCATATAACTTTAATATAACTTCAATATTACCATAATATTCAATTTTATTTGTAATCTCAACAACTCTAAATCCTAAAAGGAAATTATACAATTTTTTGTGAAAATAAAAAATCAATAAATTTTATTACTTAAATATTGCTCCCTCTATACTAGAATAATAGATTTTTTTGTTTTATCTTCAAATGAAATATTTGAAAACAATTTTTATATTTACTTATTTTATACTTAAAAAATAACTTAGAATAAATATCTACTTCCATTAGAAAATAAATAATTAAAGTTAAGAGATAATTATATGATTAAA